ACTTTTTCTCTTTTTCATGACCGAAAGTGAATTTTCCATGACTTTACGGCACCTACATGTCTAAAATATCTTAAAAACATGAATTCCTATTGTGAGTGGGGTCGCCTCTCCACAGATCTAACCTGTAATTTGGCTCGCACATCTCCAAGGAGACAAGCAGGTGGTTTTGGTTTCTTTTGTTCATTTTGTTCTGTTAAGTTCTGTTTAGTGTCTGCGTTTTCAGTATTATTTATCAAAACCGACTCTTCGTCCTTTTTCACAGGGTCCAGCTCATAAAAATAAGCTTGTCTCCATGGAAACAAGCAGGTGACGGACCCTAAAGCAGACAAGTTACACAATACACCTTTAAAAATAGCGACAGGATTGCAGATTTTTCAAATTTTTCCACTCATTTTGTTCTGTCTAGTGTCTGCGTTTGCGGCTTTATTTATCAAATTCGATCATTCACCCTTCTTCACAAGGTCCAACTCATAAAAAAATATCTCGTCTCCATGGAAACAAGCAGGTGACAGGCCCTCCAGCAGACAATTTACGCAATACACCTTTAAAAATAGCTACAGGATTTCATTTTTTCACATCTTTTTTGTTTTTTTGTTCATTTTGTTCTGTCTAGGTCTGCGTTTTCAGTATTATTTATCAAAGCCGACTCTCTTCACCCTTTTTCAGGGGGTCCAGCTCAAAATATTTGCTTGTCTCCATGGAAACAAGCTGGTGACGGACCCTAAAGGAGACAAGTTACGCACTGCAGCTTTAAAAATACAGACAGGATTTCACATTTTTCCCTCATTTTGTTCTGTCAAGTGTCTGCGTTTTTTGACATTATTTATCAAAACCGACCCTTCGCTGTCCTTCACAGGGTCCAGCTCGCAAAAAATCGCTTGTCTCCATGGAAACAAGCAGGTGACGGACCCTCCCACAGACAAGTTACACAGTGCAGCTTTAAAAATAGCTACAGGATTTCACATTTTCTACATTTTTCCACTCATTTTGTTCTGTCATGTGTCTGCGTTCACATCATTATTTATCAAAGCTGACCCTTCGTCCTTCTTCACAGGGTTCAGCTCATAAAAATAAGCTTGTCTCCATGGAAACGAGCTGGTGAAGGACCCTAAAGCAGACAAATTACGCAGTGCAGCTTTAAAAATAACTACAAGAGTGCAAATTTTTCACGTTTTTTGTTCTGTCTAATGTCTATTTGCGACATTATTTATTTAAAAAATTAATTAATTAACTTCTTCGCAGGGTCCAAGCTCATAAAAATAAGCTTGTCTCCATGGAAACGAGCTGGTGACAGACTCTAAAGCAGACAATTTACGCAATACACCTTTAAAAACAGCTACGGGATTTCACGTTTTTTCACTTTTTTTGGTGTTTTTTAATTAATTTTGTTCTGTCTAGTGTCTGCGTTTGCGGCATTATTTATCAAAGCCGACCGTTTGCCTTTCCTCACAAGGTCCAGCTCATAAAAATTAGCTCGTCTCCATGGAAACAAGCAGACAAGTTACATAGTGCAGCTTTAAAAACAGCTACAGGATTGCAGATTTTTCACATTTTTCCACTCATTTTGTTCTGTCATGTGTCTGCGTTCACATCATTATTTATCAAAGCTGACCGTTCGTCCTTCTTCACAGGGTTCAGCTCATAAAAATAAGCTTGTCTCCATGGAAACGAGCTGGTGAAGGACCCTAAAGCAGACAAATTACGCAGTGCAGCTTTAAAAATAACTACAAGAGTGCAAATTTTTCACGTTTTTGTTGTTTTTTTGTTCATTTTGTTCTGTCTAATGTCTATTTGCGACATTATTTATTTAAAAAATTAATTAATTAACTTCTTCGCAGGGTCCAAGCTCATAAAAATAAGCTTGTCTCCATGGAAACGAGCTGGTGACAGACTCTAAAGCAGACAATTTACGCAATACACCTTTAAAAACAGCTACGGGATTTCACGTTTTTTCACTTTTTTTGATGTTTTTTAATTAATTTTGTTCTGTCTAGTGTCTGCGTTTGCGGCATTATTTATCAAAGCCGACCGTTTGCCTTTCCTCACAAGGTCCAGCTCATAAAAATTAGCTCATCTCCATGGGAACAAGCAGACAAGTTACATAGTGCAGCTTTAAAAACAGCTACAGGATTGCAAATCTTTCACATTTTTCCACTCATTTTGTTCTGTCATGTGTCTGCGTTTACATCATTATTTATCAAAGCTGACCGTTTGTCCTTCTTCACAGGGTTCAGCTCATAAAAATAAGCTTGTCTCCATGGAAACGAGCTGGTGAAGGACCCTAAAGCAGACAAGTTACGCAGTGCAGCTTTAAAAATAACTACAAGAGTGCACATTTTTCACGTTTCTGTTGTTTTTTTGTTCATTTTGTTCTGTCTAATGTCTATTTGCAACATTATTTATTTAAAAAAATGTATTAATTAACTTCTTCGCAGGGTCCAAGCTCATAAAAATAAGCTTGTCTCCATGGAAACGAGCTGGTGACAGACTCTAAAGCAGACAATTTACGCAATACACCTTTAAAAATAGCCACAGGATTTCACATTTTTCACATTTTTCCCCCCCATCATTTTGTTACAGTCTAGTGTCCGCCTTTTGCGACTCCGCTCCAGTAACTCCCCCGGCTTTATTTATCAAAGCAGACCCTTCGCCCCTTCTTCACAGGGTCCAGCTCATAAAAATTAGCTCGTCTCCGCAAAGCTCTGAGTAAATAAGGACTCACACAGAGGGGCCAAGGACGGGGGCAGGAGTCGAGTATTAGTGACCGCTGGCTCCGCTCACACTCTATTACAATGCAAATGATTTCACCGCTCTGGCCTCGGTGTCTCGGACAAAACTGGACGCGTGGAGCAACGGGGGAGATTATTTAAATGTTCTGAGCAAATAAGTATCAAGAAATGGGTAATTTAAAGATGCAGCGTGTAATTTTTTCTGCTTTTCTACACCGTTCAGAGTCAGAATCCCTGTTTTTCTTGGTGTTTTTGAGCCATAAAACCACCTGTAACTGAATAAATGTAACGTACAGCTGTTTAATGTCACACTGCGGGACATTCCAAGCACAGCAATGACGTCTCCGTGGAAACAAAGCTCACGCAATGCACATTTAAAGCTCGTATACCAGATTTTTTTCCACATATTTGAGAAAAATGTGTCTTGCCGAAGCACAGATTTGTTGTAAAAGCAGCTTCTAATTTGCATCTAATTTTAAAGCATTTTCTTGTCCGGCGATCAGGAAGTGCGTGTTAGCATGATAGCTGTCGTTAGAGGTTGGCCTATCGCGATAACAAATTTTGAAGCTACAAAGAAATATTGCGATAAACGATCACATTAAAACCACTTTACGCCACTGACATAAAACAGGATTATCCCAATTTTAAAATATTCAAAAGGCCCGGAGCTGCAACAATTTAATAGCAGAAAAAACGCAAAAAATCTCCTAAATTTCACAAAAAAATTTCGTATTATTCCAGCTTTCAGAGATTTCACAATAAATTAATATAGAAATGAAAGTGACAGGCCTAATTAGAGCTACTGTCACGGCAAAACTTCGCTCTGGTCTCTGAAAGTTTTGAAAAGTGCTTAGAAACTCATCACGGTGAATAATTATGATGTTCAGAATTAATAAGTTAAGTGAGGAATACTTTTAAAGGGATAATATTACGTTATTTTAGGATCTATGAAACAAAACACAAACTCCTGGTCTGTTTTTGAGGAGGCAACAGCATTATAACACGACTTAAAGCTCACAAGATTCAATTTGGAAGAATACAGGACCTGTTTTTCACATTTTTAAAAGCTTAAAAGTGAATTGTTTTAATATCATTAGCTGACTCAGAAGTTTACTTAATTATTTATTGATTATGTATGTTTGAGTAATCCTGTATTCGGGGTTCGGGGACAAAATTTCAAAACTTTTCCATGACCTAAAGTGAATTTTCCATGACTTTAGTTTTTTTTACATTTTTAACAATACTATCGATGCATTTATTGACCTCTCTTTTTGTTCGGCAAGGCGGTGCTGCCGAAAAACGCGAGGAGCGGGGGCAGGTGTGCGGAGATTCTGTGCGACGGACGTAGTTTTGCGAAGATTCACGTGGTTCGGAGGGACGTGGTCAAGGCCCTCGCTGCGGGAAACGCTGCGATAACATTCACAGAACGCAGAAACGTTTTCAATTTCCATGACTCTTCCAGGATTTCCATGACTTTCGGAACGCTGTATATTATCCTGCATTCAAGGCTCAGAAAATATCAGTTCACCCCTATCACCTCGCTCCGCCCACGACTCTGTGAACCTTCAAACCTACCTTAAATAACCTTGAAATTAAAATTTAAAAATACTCTTAAACTATTTGTACACAAGAGCTTTTAAGGAATAAACGAAACGAAAACATTACTAAACCAATTACAGCTTGTCCAAAAAAAATCTGGGCACAACAGATTTTCTTTTTTGTACTTTTTTTTTTGTTTTTTTTAAAGGTGCACTGTGTAACTTTTCCTTTCTCCATGGCGATGTGGAAAGATTGCTTTGTTTGGAATATCCCGGAATGACATTAAACCAAACCATTAAACCATTAAACCATCTTGCGTTCACTCAATAACACGTGGTTTTATTGACCTAAAAACTCTCATTTTTTTACTGGGAATGGGCTCGCCTCTACACAGATCTGACGTGTAAGCTGCTGTCTCCATAGAGATAAACATACTGCGGAACATTCCAGACGATATCTCCACGGAAAGAAGCAGGTTTTGGAGCTTTCAACAGAAAAATTACACAGTGAACCTCTAAATTTTTTGAGCTTTGTCCTTGGAAAAAATCCAAAAATAAAACTCCAAACGTTAAAATTCAAACTGTAAACATATCAACAAATTATATAACGGTGAAAAGGGATAAATATTGATTTGTGGGGGAAGGTTTCAGCTGTAAAAAAAATGACATAACAAAACAGAATCCCGCCGAAAACATGTAGAGAAACGTCGGCGTTCGTGTTCTGGCTCTGTACCTGTTGATGAGGTCTTCGTTGTCGTCGCTCTCCATCTCGTCCTCTATCGCCGCCTGCAGGTCGCCGATCCTCTTGAAGGCCAGTTTCAGATCCGCCTGGAGACTCTGGTTCGCCGCCTCCAAGCTCTCGATGTCCATCTCCTGTAAAAAAAAAAAAAAAAAACACACCGAGAGTTAAGACGACCACGTAAAGGAAAAAAAAAAAAGTTAGAATGTCGTTTCCTCGTCACAAACGGAGCCGGAGTTCTGAGTTTTGTTTCGTTCGCACGTGTTTAAACACACAAACGCAGCAGATTTAGGCGGCGTTCTTCTCTCAAAACTCTGTCAAAACCCACTGCCAGAGTCCTGCACGGGTCCAAGAATTACAATCACGAAACGAAACGAAACGGTTCAACTTTCTTCAGTGCGAATACGAACTCACAGACGCGACTCGACTGTCATCACTTCACAGGCCGAGCAGCAGAAACACTGATCGAATTGCCGGACTTTTTCACCGCACGAGCCATGGACTAAAACAGGACTAAACAGGACTAAAACTGGATTAAACCAGGTCTAAACCAGGACTAAAACAGTTCTAAAACAGGACTAAACCAGGACTGAACCAGTTCTGAAACAGGACTAAAACAGGACTAAATCAGAACTAAATCAGGACTCCACGTTTCTCTCCTTCTCTTAAGTCTAAGATTAACCCTGGTGTAGTCCTGGTTTAGTCCTGGTTTAGTCCTGTTTCAGTCCTGGTTTAGTCTGGATTTAGTATTGGTTTAGTCCTGTTTTAGTCCTGGTTTAATCCTGTTTTAGTCCTGTTTCAGAACTGGTTCAGTCCTGGTTTAGTCCTGTTTTAGAACTGTTTTAGTCCTGGTTTAGACCTGGTTTAATCCTGTTTTAGTCCTGTTTAGTCCTGGGTTTAGTCCTGGTTTAGACCTGGCTCAGTCCTGTTTTACTCCTTGTTTAATCCTGGTTCAGTCCTTGTTTAGTTTGGTTTTAGTCCTGGTTTAGACCTGATTCAGTCCTGGTTTAGTCCTGATTTAGACCTGGTTTAGTCCTGTTTTAGTCCTGTTTCAGAACTGGTTTAGTCCTGGTTTAATCCTGTTTTAGTCCTGTTTCAGAACTGGTTCAGTCCTGGTTTAGTCCTGTTTTAGAACTGTTTTAGTCCTGGTTTAGACCTGGTTTAATCCAGTTTTAGTCCTGTTTAGTCCTGTTTTAGTCCTGTTTTAGAACTGGTTTAGAACTGGTTCAGTCCTGGTTTAGACCTGGTTTAGTCCATTTTAGTCCTGGTTCAGTCCATTATTCATTTTATTGTGATTTTAATGTATTTCTTATTGAATAAAGCACTTTTTTTTTTTTTTATTACTTTGTGTACAAATTGTGTGATACAAATAAACTTGCTTTACCATGAAAAATCCAAAAGGTAAATTCACCAAAATTGAACTCCAGACTTTCTATTAGTGACTGGACCCATAAACTTCTTGTGTTCAGTTTTTTATAGCTGAAGTTGAATAAATAAAAAAATCCTAAAGGGGATCGATGTATGAGGCTTTAACCCTCGCTGTCCGTGTCCTGCTAACGAGTCGAGGCACTGAACTTTTCACACAACGGAGGAGGGTCAGGGTTTGTGATGAATGCAGCTTCAAAATGTCACGTCCTTCTGAGGCAAGACACAGAGAAATACGATACATACAGGTTTATTTTGTCCCACGTATTAGAGCAAAACTGGTCTTGTCGTTTTATAACAAAGACGCCATCTTAAATCAAAATGGTAAAAAAGAAAAGACTTGGTGAATTTTATTGATAAGATATAAAACCACTTGTAACTGAATACATGTAAGTTTTTATTTTTATATTTTTTAAATTATGGTGAAGTTTATCATCTTATTTCCTAATTGGACGTGGCCAGACTTAGAGGTAACTCCACATCTGTTACTGACCTGTTAAGTGCGATTAAGCTAAAAATAATAAAAAACACATCACCTTCATTTATTCTTCTACTTCCTGTATTTTTACATTTACCTTTTTAACTTTTTTCCACAAACTGCCACATCACTGATGTAAAATTATGAATATTTACCCCAGATTTTATCCCACCAAACCAAGAAATAATCTGAAAAAAGGTGAAAAACACTTTAACACTGCAATGTTGGGAGTTCTACGTTGCTATGGCAACAGTCAACATTCTCCTTCTCTTCAAGCCCATTGGTCGTCGCCGTGCCAACGACATTCCATGCTTCATGACATCACACTTCAAAGCTGGACACATCTCTGGTTTTGTATAAGTGAGACGCCGCCAGAAGACGAGACACAAACAGACACGTTACTCGATGGCGACTACTACGATCTACAAGATGGAAGCAGAAAGACCTACGGAGGTTTACAAATCAGACTTGACGCGTTTATATGATCTTGCTGCGTTGCACGATCTGCACGTCCAGTTTGACGTACAAGAAGACGGCCAAGCCCATAGAAGAACCTTCCACGCTGAAGTACGAGCGGGAAACTATGTTGGCTTTGGCTTTGGACCCACAAAACAAAAGGCTAAACTAGATGCAGCCAAGAAAGTGGTGGAGGAGCTGAAGCAGCTCCCAGTGCCACAGAATGTGACTCCATATTGGGAGAAACCCCACGTAGATCTGGTGGACCCTGTGGAACGTCCATTCTACTTTTATAACAAGAATCCGATCACCGCCCTCTCAGAAATACTGGATGTGAGGAGGCAGAGAGCTCCTGAATTCAGGGTGGTCTCGTTTGTGCAGCGCAACGCCTACAGCACCACCTTCTGTGTGGAGGTAAGAGTGGGCCAGATGTCCTGCCAGGGAATGGCCTCCAACAAGAAAGCAGCCAAGGTCAAAGCAGCTCACAAAATGCTGGAGATGATGGGGTATAAGGAGTTGATGGAACAACACAACCCAAAGATGCACCCTGCCCAAGAACATGAGTTCCAGCAGCATGTTGTCCGGCAGCAGCAGCTGTACAAGCTGGAACTCCAGCGGGCTTTTAGAGCAAAGAAGGAAAGCTTTAAAAGAGGAGAACAATCTGACGCCACAAACGGTTCAGTGGATTCACCAGAGGAGCCCAGTCCTGCACAGGTTCCATCTCCACAGGAAGTTTCCAGCCCAATAGACCCTGTCAGTCCAGCAGAAGATCCTGTCCCACCAGAGGAGATGATCGACTCGCCTGCACCCTCCTGTGGACATGGAGCACCACACATCCTCACAGAGGCTTGTGTCAAACACACTTTAAAAGTGGTCAACATGGACCACAGTCTGATGGCTGAGGAGATTCAAAGAAAGATTCAGGAGCACGTCATTGTTGATGGAGATGCTGATATCAGCCTTGAGGACCTAGAAGAAATTGCCAAAAGTGCGGCCAAAAATATCGAAGTGGAGTATGACTCCCCTCACGCCTTCTTGAGAGCTGTTTGTGCAGTAGATACTGCACCTTTAGAAGCAGCTATTCTGGCCCATCTCAACACCGAGCTGAGAGCCTTCCTCACCCGTCCTGAGTCTGAGGAGATCAAACCAGTGACCCCTGTGTCTGAAGAGCACTCACATGCACAGGATGTCACCAGCCCAGCAGAAGAGACCATCACTGTGACGAGTGGACTTCTGGAGGATACACCAGAAGAAAACCAGTCTGAAGCTGGAGCTGCCCCAGTTGTTTCACAGAGTAGCTCGGTCAAACTGGTAGAGGAGGAAACGACTCTAGAAACTGAAGAATTTCCACAAGAAATTCATTTTGAAAATGTCCTGGAACAGACACCTGCAGAAAGCCAACAGCAGGTACCTGATGTGTCCCAGGACTCCACATCCCTGAGCCAAGGGAATGACGAGCTCCAGGAGGAAGTGCAACCTGCGTCAGAGGAACTACAGGTGCTCCCTGTGGAAGACCTGTCCCAGTTTGCCTTCACTGGAGTTACTGCAGAAAATGACGACATCAAAGACCAAACCACCACTCACCAAGAGCAGAGTGAAGATGTCTGCAGCCTGAGTCCAGCTCTGCCTGAAGAGCACCAGAGCTGCACTTCACCAGCACCAAGTGTCACTGCTCATGAGCCAGAGGCCGAGAGGGAAGTGAGTCCACCAGACCACACCCTGCATCAACAAACAGACGAAATGTCCTCTCCTCTGGAAACCAAAACAGAGACGATCAGCCCACCTGCTCCCTCTTGTGGACATGGAGTGTCCCACATCTTCACAGAGGCTTGTCTCAAACGCATTTTCAAAATGGCCAAAATAACCAAACAGGATCACGTCCTGATGGCTGCTGAGTTACACCAAAAGATCCAGGAGCACATCGTTGTAGTTGGAGATGATGAGATCAGCCTTAAAGATTTCAAGAAAATTGGCAAAAAAGTGGCCAAACAACTAAAAGTGCAGTACGGCTCGTCTTGGACCGTCTTTAGGGCAGCTTCAGCAGAAGATACTGCACGTTTTGAGGCAGCAGTTGTGACCCATGTCAACAGCGAGCTGAGAGCCTTCCACACGCGCCGCAAGTCCACCCTGTCACACTTCTTCTGGAGGCTGAGGAGGGTGTTTCATTAGACCATCAACTGATACAGATTAAAAAAAGAAGAAGATGCATTTGTCATTGCAATGGAAAGAACGTTTCTGTTGGAATGTGTTTAAGTGCATTAACTTTTCCAAAAATAAAAAAAAATATTTTATTTTTTTAGTTTATTTATTTATTTATAAATAAATTAACAAAAAAATAAAATAAACTAAAAAAAATAAATAAACAATTCATACCAAATCTCATGTTTCCTCTTGTGTGTTTGTCTTAAATGTATTTAATAATAACAGTAGTGTGTGGTTAGCATGCTGATGATGTGGATGTAATGTCCTAACTCATTAGGACGCTCTAATGTGTGAACAAAGTGAGATTACATTACATTACATTAAAGGTCCTAAATTAGGTTTAAGTCATGTTATAATGTTGTCACCTCCTCAAAAACAGACCTGGAGTTGTGTTTTGTTTCATTCACACATGTTTGAGTAATTCTTTATTATCAGTCTGTCTATGGGCCCGTCATCGTAAAAATAAATATCAGGCTAGTCCGCAGAAAAACAACGTGTAAAATGCTCGAGGCTTATTTTACTTGGAAATATATTAGGATGATAAACACTTAACACTCATAACAGGGTGAGATGTTCGACATGTGTGTTTTTTCTGTAAAGATGCAAACGGTTTTATAATGTGATACTTTGTGATTTTACTGTTTCGTTTTGATTGTGTTGGCTGCTGCGTTGGCCACGTCTCTTCTTTTCTGAAACTCCATGGGACCTCCTTGTTAAATAAAGGTAAAACAAATAAAAATTAAAAACCCCTCTGAAGTCGTGGCTCTCAAACTCAAGTTTTCGTGAGCGCTGGGCAGTTGGGTTTTGTAAAGGGAGCTCACCGGAGTAAGGAAGGTTAGAGAGCCGTGACTTGACGACTGCACACTTTTTTGATGACAGTAAATCAAGTAGTAGAAGCTAAAAGTGCCGTCGTGTGTGCAGCGCAGTGACTGACCAGCTCGTGCTTCTTGCGGCTGGCCTCCGCCTCTTTCTTGGCGAGTTCGGCCATCTCCTCTTTCACGTCTCGGATCTGTCGCTGGAGCCTTTTGTTCTGCTCTTTCTCTCTGGTCTCGCTGTTGCTGCGCTGGTCACGCTCCTCGGTCAACTTCTCCATGTTTTCCTTCAGGCGGGCCACCAAACTCTGCAGAAAAACAAAACAAAAACACAAATACAGAGTCAGACACAACATTTAAAAGGCTTATATTATTTTCTGATTTATGTTATAATGTTGTTTCCTCATCACAAACAGATCTGGACTTGTCTTTTGTTTCATTCACATGTTTAACACACAAATGCTGGATATTTAGGCTCTTCTCTCAAACAGAAAACACGCCACGTTCCACCTAATACACAAAGCTCCACTGTGTTTTTAAACTCCACCTTCACTGGAATCATTTGGATCATTTCAGCCCTTGAATTGCCCAAACAAAACACAACTCCAGCTCTGTTTTTGACGAGTTAACAACATTATAACATTTAGGGATGTCCTGATCACATTTTTTTTGTCCCCAAGTCCGAGTCCTTTGATTTTGAATATCTGTCGATACCGAGTCCCGATCCGATACTTCTATAAAACATTATAAAATGAACTAAGAGTAAAGAATAAGATCCAGGATGTTTGGGGGATCAGATTGTATTGATTTCAAAGTGTAGTATTTGAGCTGAACTTGTGAAAAATCAAATGTCCAAAACTTTAATTTAATTAACTTTCCTAACCATGCACCATCATTGCTGAAAATCTTTACTTTTACCACAGTCTGGTCTTGGAATGTGTAACTTATACTTAATGAACTGGATAAAACAGAAACCAGACCAGCATCAGATCAGACCTGAGACTCGACTCTGCACAATCTACGGTTTGTATATTTGATATTATATGTTTGCATGTGCTTTACATTTGAAACATTTAGGCTTGTCTATGAAATCCAAATTATACAAAATCTTACCAACTAAAAACGAGATGACAGAAGCCCCACAGTCTCTCTCCCCCCCGGCCGCCCCACATCAACAAACCCACTGTGGAGCGCTCACTGCAAACAAGAGCGGGCACAGCAGCATCGGTCCCACCGCTCAATAGACGCGTCATACCGCTGGACGGACCCTCTCCGCCAAAAGCGCCAGCTCCGTTGCGCAACATGCAAACAAACAGCGCCGTGCGACGATGCCATTGGAGACATCGTAGGTGTGAACACGGGCCACAGAACCACAGGTAACAGCGCCTGAGTACGACACGACCCAAAAGTCCCAGAGCGAGTGCGTCTCTCGTACAACAGGAGCTGGGACAGACGCTGACTGGACGTCCCTGAGCAAATCCCGCGCCTCAGTAAAAAATAAATAAAAAATGTTGTGTGCTGTGTATATTATATATATACGTATATTATTAATCCGATACCTGATCAGACCTTAACGGCCGAGTCCGGATCGAGTCCACAGTCTCGTGATCAGCACTGATTTCCGATCACGTGATCGGATTGGGACAACCCTAGTTTTAAGTGTTTGTTTTCTGTAAAACATAAGCAAATGTACTCAAAGCTGCATTATACACATTATTACTCAATGTATATTTGAGTCAAGCCCCCAGGTTCCAAAATGGCCCATCCAAGTCAATGGGCTGAGCTCAATGGCGCGTGATCCCAGATTAGTCTAGCCCGGCTTGGTCCTTCCGGTGGCTGTGGGCCAACCAAGCATGCGCAGTAGTGCTCTTTTCTCCCGCGGGCACACGCGAATGCATGCGAACGCACAGAGCGTGGGTTCATGTATCACGTGATCGCTTTGACCAATCAGAGCGAGAGGAGATAGAGCAAAGCAGAGCGTAGCCAAAGCTAATGATTATAAAGCGTTTGTTAAGACAACTGAAGGATTTTGAGCTGAGAAAAAGTGCATGATCTAAAAATAGGTAAAAATCGCCACAAAATCCGACATTTTTGAAAGTTGTAGGTCCCTGTCAGTCGAACACGAGCAGTTTGTGATTACATTGCCTCTATGAGAAAAATCTTCTCACGGCCCATGGGATTTTTTCGGCTGTAGTACTACTGAGTGACACTACGTCAACTCGAGGCAGCTACAAGCAGCAATACTGTATCCAGTTATTTTAATAGATCCATGATTTGAGTTGTCCTTGTGGGAAATAAAAAAAAAACAAACTTAAATGATCCACCCACATTAACATTCATAATCCACCAAGACAGGGAGGCAGCGCCGGGTGAATTACGCCACGATCTTCCGATGGATCGTGGACGCCTGGAATAAGGATCAGTCTCAAGTGTCGTCTGTTTCATTTAATACGCCTTATAACCCGGTGCACCTTATGTATGAAAATAGACAAGAGAATCTGAAAAATACAGTATAATAACTTGCTTAAAAATTAAACAGTGGGGCTTTAATGTCAGAATATTAGACGCAAAAGCCTGAAACTTGAATAAACCTTCTCTCCTTAACGTGCTGTATATTCATAGAGAGAAACTGGCTTGAGGACGAACTGCGTACCTGAACTGACGGTCTTGTTTCTGTATTAAAAACGCGGTGGGACTTGCATTAGACGTACACGGTGGTTAAACCGGAGCAGAGGGCCCATATAAAGTCTACGGAGAGCGTTTTAGCATTAGCCGGCGGCCCTATCCATATTTCACAGCGAGTGGGAGTGTGTCTCTGTAATGAAATCAATACGGCTCTACCTGCGGCTCCGAGAAGGTACAGGAGCCGATCGACCACGGCCAGAATCACAGGTAGAACAAGATCAAAATGTACACTTACTACTGCAACTAGGACATAAAGAAAATATAGTGTCAGACGATGTGCGCAAATAAAAAAGTTATATATTACTTCTACTGCTCTGGTATTGTACTGTACTTATACTTGGACGTCTAATTCTTCTGTAATTGTTCTTGGTTTAGACATTTCCGTCACCTGTTTGTTTCTACTTTACATTTATTCAATTACAGGTGGTTTTATTGATCAAAAATACCTAAAAAAGCCCAAATTCTGACTATGAGTGGGGTCGCCTCTCCACAGATCTGGCCTGTAACTTGGTCTGGTTTGGTCTCAGTGAAGACAGAACGTAGGGTTGCTCGATTATGGATCGATTATTTTGGTCAACATTGAAATCACGATTATTCAAATGATTATTTTTTAGTTACACGATGCATTTAGTCAGCATTTCTTATTGTTAATCTGTGCAAAACGTTCAAATTGAAAATAAATATAGGCAACAAATATGAACCTTAGAGCAGTTTTGCATAATGTATAAAACATAAAATGAATAAAATATACTTTGAACATGAAATAAGGCATAGAAAAACATAAATGTATCCAAAATAAAGTATATATCCAACTTCTCTACAATATATACTATATACTATATACTTATTTATATTTTTTAAAAAATCCCAATATAAACTTTGCCAAGCTTTAAATTGTTTCAAATCGATTATATGAGTTTGGAGATCGTCATTTGACACACAAATCGAAATCGCCATCAAAAACAAAAAACAGTTATGATTCAGAGTTAGTACAGCCTCAGTAGCTCAGGGAGGGAATTCTAGAAGTCCTGAGCTTTCACATGAGGCCTGTCAAACAGAATGAGACAAATCTGGATGTGTCTCTATCTGGAGGTTAAAGGTTGTATGGAGGATTTTTTTATTTTTTTTTTCAGTTTCAAATTGTAAAAGTTTAAAATACCATTACAGAGACACAGCAGCTTTATAATCATGATGACCAAAAAAACAAAAAAAAGAATGAAAATCTATCAACTGTGGAATTAGCAAGGCCTGATAAACATCAGCCAATAGATAACGAGGCTGCCTCATTTTCTATTGGCTGTCAGGTTGTCAGTCAAACTCCCTACATTTCTAATGTAACTGACTCGTCGGCGCGCAGGGATTACGTGGTTTTTGCAGCGGTTCTTAGAGGCTTTTTCAAACTGTAGCTTCCACGCAATTTGCACAAAGTTTGTTGCGATGGCGGACGAGAATCCACGACCGGTTCGCCATGAATGAAAGTATGTTTTTGAGGTCGCTAAAAGAAGAAGAGAAGGGGAAAAGGAGCAAAAAAAAACAAACTGAGGTGATTCTTGGAGATCTCTTCCAGCGATTGTGCAACTGAAGCAGACAAAGGGTCTAAAAACTGACACGTTGGTCACTAAATTATTTCTAGACGGGTCACTTCAACTGTAATTCTGAACGCACACTGGCTGTAAACAAGCGTGATTTCTAGAGTAAAGAGGCGGAAGGAGGTGTTTCTACTGAGGGAGCTGTGGAGGAGGAAGTACTGTCGCTGTATTTCTCTTCCCTTAAAAATCCTCTATACAACCTTTAAAGCTCTAGCAACACAGGTTCAATTGTCACTGTAAAACCGTTTTTGAACCTGCAAGAGCACAGTCTAAATAATACACTGCTCCTTTAACAGAACTGTAGTGGTCAATCGTGTTGAAAGCCAAAACACCAATGACATTATTGCTTTGTCTAATGTTCCACGTGAGAGATTAAACCTGTCTATCTCAAATAAAGGCTACAGTACAGGTCAGATCTGTGGAGAGAGAGCATGATTATATTATTAGCCATGCCAGCTCGTCAAAGCCTGATCCACTCAGATTTCAGAAGCTAAACAAGGCCAGGCCTGGTTAGCACTTGGATGGGAGACACTGGGAAAATCAGGTTCCACAAGGGGGGGTGCCATTCACAAAAAAAACAAAAAAAAACTGCCATTGTGTCCACAGGCAAGACATGTCACCCACATTGCCCAGTATGAATGTGGAGTGTGTGTGTGAGTGATGGTGCAGCTGTGGCTACAATAGTAGTTTACCAACACCGGGTATGGAGTGAATGAATAATGCTCTGTAAAGCGCCTTTGTGACATATGTCTGTGAAAAAGCGCTAAATAAAAAAAAACTTACTTACTTATTGAGCAATAGAAACACCCATAATGAATAAATGCAAGATGGGGGGCCCAGTCAAACAAAAGTAAACAACAAGGCCAAAAATTCTAGTTAATGCATCTGATATAAAAATGTATTGAACAGATACATATGTACTCTAGTTTATGAAACTGTTGACCTTTTTTCTGTACCATTTTTGGTTCTAAAGTTACATACGTTTTAAACAGACCATGTATGAAACATGGAACAAAAAATATTTCCCAAATTTC